TGGCACACCCCCTCCTGTAGTTCCTAGGATGAGCCCTGAGGCTCTTCTGGGACATCCCAAAGAAGTGTTACAAGCAGTGCAGGCTCTGCAACGTGTCCACAGTCAAGTATGGCCGGGCCTCCGTGCTATCTACTGGCCTGAGGAGGAGGGTGCCGGACACCGTTTCACCCACACCAGCCGGGGGACTGGGTGTGGGTGAAACGGCGTAACAACAGAACCCTCGAAACCGAGGTGGAAGGGCCCCTATCAAATTATTCTTTTTACCCCCACTGCTCTTAAGGTTGATAGAATAGTAGCGACCTGGATACACCGCTCCCACGTGAGACTTGCTAATAAAAAAAGACCAGGAGCGGTGCCAGGACCAGTATAAAAAGCAACTGCAGACCCGAAGAATCCTCTGAAGACCAGACTGACCCGAGTGGCAGTGACAGCCCAGGACCGCTGACACAGACTTGGACTGGGGTTGTGGCATCTAAAGATTGACTGGGTGACAAACATGGATGGGTCGCGGTGGGGGGTTGGTTATTGTGTTTTGGGGATGTTGTGTTTTTGGTCCAATGTTTTTGGGATAGAGACCTACAGCTGTACTTACTGCCCCAAACCCCCACCAACCCCATAACCTTACATGGGTCTAAAGATTACTGTATAATGGTGTTAGTGTTCCCAAAAATAATATACCACACTGAGGAGATAATGTATGAGGGCATAGTAGGGCGAAGAGTCACCAACCTAATTTTTGAAAAAAAAAGAGAGCCCTTCACAGCCATAACCCTGGCTACTCTTTTTGGCTTAGGGACAATAGGAGCAGAAACTAGTATCTCTTCTCTGGCAGTGCAGCAAAGAGGGTTTAATACTCTGAGGGCAGCTGTTGATAAAGATATTGCAAGGATAGAAGATTCAATTTCACACTTAGAAAAGTCTTTAACCTCCCTCTCGAAAGTAGTTTTGCAAAACCGGAGAGGGTTAGACTTGGTGTTCCTGCAACAGGGAGGGCTATGTGCGGCCCTCCGGGAGGAATGCTGTTTCTATGCCGACCACACAGGAGTGATAAGAGAGTCCATGGCCAAAGTAAGAAAAGGGCTTGCTCGTCGCAAACGAGAGTACGAAGAACAAACAGGTTGGTTTGAGTCCTGGTTCAATAGTTCCCCCTGGCTGACTACCCTGATTTCCACGCTTGTAGGACCACTAGTGATCTTACTCTTAGCCCTGACATTTGGGCCCTGCATATTAAACAAACTCATAAGATTTGTAAAAGACAGGGTCAGTGCTGTTCAGCTTCTAGTGCTGCAACAGCAATATCAAAGACTTAATGCGGACCTAGGACTTATACATTACCCAGAAGACGAGCAAGAGTGCTCGTCGGCGATGTAAAGGAAAGGGGGAAATGTGGGGGCGCCTCGATGGAGCCTCGGTGGTGTCTCAGTGGCACAACAAGAAAAGAGTTTCCCCCCCCCTTCGTGTGAAGTAGGGTGAGGCAATTAGCGAACAGCACACATCTGTTTATACTCATACCTCCGGTTATCTCTTGGGTTGTGAAGAAAGGCAAAAGGGAGGTGGGATGCGCAGGGATCGCGCAGAATACTAAGGAAATTAATCACTTCAAAGGTCAGCTCATGACCAGCGCGTGATTAGTTTGTGCGTTGCTAGGGCCCTTTGGGGGGGGGATAAAAGGCACCCCGCAATTCAGGTCGGGGTCCTTGCCTGCAAGAGTGGCCACTGCGTTGGTGCTCTGGGGCTTAGACCCTGGCTAGCCAGAAAATAAACCTCCTCTTGTGTGATTGCATCCTCGATGTCTCTGCTTTTCTGTCCGGTGGGGCTGTGGAAGGTCGGTCCCTAACAAAAGCAGGGGCAGCACAGGTCCCTGGACTTACAAGAGGTAGCAAATGTCTGAAATCCAAAGGCCATATCCTCGAGCAGGTGAACTCTTCTGTTTTAATGACATAGTATTTTTCGTTGTGATTTATATTGCAACTTTTTGTTTCAAACAATACCATCTGTCATCATACGCTTTCTTTTTTCTTTCCTTCCTCACTGCCCAGCTTTAGGTTCACCATTGTGTTGCTGTTGTCAGAATAGAAACCCCCTGAACTTTGAATGAATGAATGTGACCTCTCCCACATTCACCTGTGCTCTGATGTAGCAAGTTCATGACACAGGGCTTGAACACACTGAAGTGCTTGGACACAAAACATGTACCTTGAGGGCTTATGTAGTTCCAAAGAGACAGTCCATGACCCTCCCCACAGATTAAAAGCCACTGCAGATGTTCCTGCATGAAAGAAACCAAAGCAAAAATATCTGGAGGTTGGTATTCCAGAACCATCTTGCTTCTCCAGTAAGGCATCAGGAACCCAGGTTCCCTTTGTATTTCTGCTCCCTATCCTCCGTGTATAGCCTCTGTTCCCAGGATGACTGACTGTGCCTTCGTATACCATAGTCCAGCTAGGAGGAAGGCCAGTGACAAGGGCCAAAATGGCACCTCCCCTCACCCTCCAGCTGAGTTAGCTCCTTAAGGACATTTTCTAGATGCCCTACCTAGTGACTTCTGCTCACACCTCACTGGCCACCACTGACTGCAAGGGAGGCTGGGGAAATGTGGTCTTCACCAGGGCACGTTGGCTCCTTGAATGAATTCCGGCTCTGTTCCTGAGGAACGAGGAGGGATGCTGGGTAGCCAGAGCGGCAGTCAATAGTCAGGTGAATGGGGAAGGACTTTAACTCACCTTTGGGATGTGAGAGTGTTTGGAGCGACCAGAGCTGTCTGCTCCCTCTTAGCAGTGACAGCACCCCACTCTGTAAGTCCCGGGCCTGCCCCCCAACTTAGCTCCCCAGCCAGGATGGTGGAAGCCTCTTTTCCTTTTGTACACAGGGCACCCACCTGGTGGAGCCCACTGCTCTGCAGCCCTCGCTGCTTGGCAGTGTTCTACAGACCCAGCCCTGCACTGTGCGTCTGGACAGTTGGAGGTAGGAGCAGGCTGGGCTCCAGGATCCCGCTGTAGCATGGGATAAGCTCAACTTCTGCATCTCTCTGTTCTTTTTGTATCCCATAAAGATGCACTGATATGGTAGACTTGTCGGACACAGTGTGCAGCATGCAGTGTCTTCACACCAGCCCCAGTCACATGCTCTGAGTTGTTTGGGTTTTTCCCCAATTTTTTTTATTGTGGTTAAATACACCTAACATAAAATTTTACCATCTTAACCATTTTTAAGTTTGTAGTTTAGTGGCATAAGTGCATTCATAATGGCAATCATCACCACTATCCATCTCCATAACTATTTTCATCTTGCTAAACTGAAACTTTGTATCCATTAAACACTAACTTTTCACTCCACCCACACACACTCCCGAGCCCCGGAAACCCTCATCCTGCTTTCTGTCTCTATGAATTTGACTCCTCTAGGAACCTCGTATACATGGAATCACACGGTATTTATCTTTCTGTGTCTGGCTTATTTCACTGAGCAAGATGCCCTCAGGCGCGTACATGTTGTGCCCTGTGTCAGAATTTCCTTCCTTTTTAAGGAGTAATGATACTCCATTGTGTGGATGGACCGCATTTTGCTCATCCTTTCATGTATTGATGGACTTGGGTTGCTTCACATTTTGGCTGCTGTGAAGAATGCTGCTGTGAACGTGAGCGAACACACGGTTCTTTGAGACTCTGCTCTCGATTCTTTTGAGTTCATACTTGGAAGTGGAATTGCTGGATTGTATGGTAACTCTCATTTTAATTTTTTGAGGCTCCTCCGTATTGTTTTTATAGTGGATGCACCGTTTCACATCTTCCCCAACTGTGCACAAGCGCTCCAATCCTCCACATTCTCATCAACAGTGTTATTTTCTGTTTTTTTGAGAGTGACCATTCTAATGGGTACAGGGTGGTATCTCACTGTAGTTTTGATTTGCATTTCTATAATGATTAGTGATGTCAATCATCTCTTAACATGCTTGTTGGTCATTTGTATATCTTCTTTGGAGAAATGTCTATTCAGTTCCTTTGACCTTTTTAAAATTGAGTTGTTTGGTTTTTGGTGTTGAGTTTTATCTGAGCTATTTTTTCAGCAACCAGAATAGGTTTGTTAGAAATATCTAGTCTCTCTCAGAAGGAAGCCAGTTATTTCAGAGATGGCTACGGGGGGGTGACAACACAGCCTTTGAGGCCCCCAAGGGGAAACTCACATTTTCCCAGAGCCCTGTTGTGTGCCCGCCACCACACATCTGGACCGTCTCTTTCCATCAGAGCCATGCTGTGACTCTGTTGAGGAGGAGGCTGAGGCGAAGGCACGCGCTGCAGGGCCACAGTTACAGATGGCAGAGCTGGAGCCTACACCAAGCCCATCTGACAAGGTGTCCACTGGCCTACACTGCCTCCCTGGAGGAACTTCTGACACCTCCGGCGGGAAACCAGGTCGAAACCAACTCCCCTTATTTCAGGTGACGAAGAGGCCTAGCAACACCCACTCCCATCCGCTCGTGTCTCCAACACAACTGAGGCATCTAGGCAGCTCGGGCAGGGAGGCAGCTCGCACCTCGAGCCTCCTCTGCCTGGCTCCACTTGCCATCTGAAGGGGACGCTTAAGGGATGCAGGAAGGCCAAGGAGGTACAGCTCCTGCTTCCTACCCGGCTTGTTTCCCAGGTCCTCTTCTCCATGGCTGCCTTCACAGAAGGTTCTGAGTTCCCTCAAACAAATAAAGGAGTGGTTTTGACATCCTGCATGGTTTGTGCTCTGAGGCCTCAGTCTCCGGAGGATTCCTTGCCTATCTTGAGATGCCTTTTCACTGATGCATCTGCATGTCCTCCAGGAACCTGCGGTGGGGCCGAGCCATGGCACAGCCACCTCCCTGGGTTCCTTTTCTCTTCCAGATTGTTGGGTTCTTGAGGAGAGTGACCGCAGCTGGAAGCCCGGGCCACCCACTCAGTCAGAGAGGAAGGATCCGCAGTACCACAGCATGGCAGGTGACCAGTGGTCATGGGGGACGCAGACTTTTCATGATAAATTGAAAAAATCCAATTTATAAAAAATTGTTATAAACTATTACAAAAAATCCAAACCACATGGAAGTATATAAACCTGTTTTATTACATGGGCCACTATCTGGAATTTTTCTCACTTGTTTTGTTGTCCATTTCATCCCCTCCAGAATGTAAGTTCCTCAAATGTGGGGCCTTCCTGTCCTGTCTTCTCTCTGTCTCTTGTCCCTGAAATCACCCTTGGGACATGCTGCCCCAAAGTAGTTGTTGATTGGATGACCCCCCTTGGTCAAAAACTTGGTGTGGTTCCTTCTTTACTCTTGTGATTGCTTATAATGCGCACACGCACGCACACACGCACACACACAATTTTGCAACTTCATTTTTCTCATTCAGCAATATAACATGGAAATCCTTTCATTATTGAACACACAGATTTACCTTATTCTATATATTATAGTGTAGATTAGGATTTTTGACCTTGGCACTGTTGACATCATGAGCCAGATAATCCTTCATCATGGGATCGGGCCTACGCACTGTGAGACATTTAGCGGTGCCCCTCGCCTCTGCCCATCAGATGCTAGTAGCACTCCTCCCACACCAGTTGTGACGACCAAAACTGTCACCAGATGTTGAGAAATGTCCCCTGACAGGCAACACTGTCCCCAGTTGAGAAACTTTATGGGTATTTCATTTGTATCCATTATCCTGTTAAGCCCCAAAGTAGAGTTGCTTTGTAACTTAGGAGTCTGAGAAAGCAAAATCGAAATGTTAACTATTAACCTAACTCCTGGAATTCAACCTTTACACTCGGCTGAATGCCCTGGAAACTGTTTGCTTCAAACATGTGTATTTTCTCTTTAAGGTCCTAGACTGAAAATTTTAAATCAAGAGTTTAACATCCTCTTAGATGTTACCAGGTAAATTTCATTAAGCAAATCACCAAGCTGCCTCCAGGAAAAAATCAGTACATGATCTCACAGACTCTTCTGAACGAGGAAAACTCTGCTTCCAGGGCTCCCAGTGCTGGTGACACGGCCAGTGCCTGCACTTGTCATCTGCCTCTACGCTGAAAGACGCACCCGCGGAAGCCCTGCCTTCCCGTGGGAGCCAGGGCTTCCATTCTTCTGGCTTTGTTTAAGTGTCAGATTGTGATGGATGTGGAGGAGGCAGAAACAGACTGGGCCAGACCGAAAGCTGATGCCTGCCACTGTAGGGTTGCATAGAAGATTAGTTCCAGCAGCTTTTTAATTTTGATGTTAGGATGCAGGCCTAACCCTTTTCACAGGGGATAAACAAATTAGATCAGTCTTTTGAAGAATTTAGTGGTGGTATTTTTGAGGAGACATAATTTGGTCCATTGTATTTTCATGTGTTAGTAAAGCCAAGTAATGTTGAGCTGGGGTATAACGGGATAAAAAGTCCATTGCTTTAAAACTGTCACTCATTGGTATTTCTTTGCTTCAACCACCATAATGCACTGAGACATTTAATTTTCATCTTAGTCTTCATTGAATTTTGACATAGACAAGTTGCTCTTCAAGGGGAACTGTTTCTTCTGTACATGCAGGTAAGAAAGTGCTCATCGTCTATGCACACCAAGAGCCCCGGTCCTTCAACGGCACCTTAAAGAACGTGGCCGTGGACGAGCTGCGCAGGCAGGGCTGCGTGGTCGCGGTGTCCGACCTGTATGCCATGGACTTTGAGCCGAGGGCCACGAGGAACGACATCACTGGTGAGTCACGGGTCAGCTCTATTGTTTTTTTTTTTTTTTTAACTTTCTTCTTTGTGTTTTTTAATTAAAAACATGTTGACTTCTGATTCCAAAAGGGCAGCTAAAAGCAAGCTGGTTTCACTCCCCTTACCCCCACAGAAAGCCAAAAAAAAAAAAAAAATATATATATATATATATATATATATAGCACTGAGATTATCCCCAGCAATATCCCAGATGAGCAATATCCCATCTCATCAAATATGAGGATGAGATGGCTCCCAGGGCCACAGAGAGGTGAAAAACTCCAAGCAGATGGTAAGAGAATTGGACTTTCATATCTGTGACACCCTGTTCCCAATATGCCCAGCACCAAGCACGTGGAAATTTTCCCTTCCAACTCACGGTTTCTGCATTGGAAAATGTGAGATCTAGGTGGACAACTAGCTTCCCCATTATCTTGGGTTCCCTCAAAGGAGGCCTGTCCCTGCCTCACCCCACAGGAAGCACTGGGAGTGCTTGAAGGGACAACTATTCCTGAAAACAGCCAGAAACAAGCGGGGAGGCAGGACTGCCACGCCCAGCCCTGGAGACTGCTCTGTACCTTGGCCAAAGGAGACGCCAAATCAGAGTGGTTGTTCAGCACCACGCTGGAGGAGGTTCGTTCCATAGGTCCCTTGGGCGGGAACCCCTAGCCCGCCTTCCCGCACTCCAGGATAGCCCCTTTGGGACTTCCCCATTTGAGACAGGGCGGTCATTTAGACCATTTACTCGAGCTGAGGCAAAGTTGGGCTTAAGGTACCATCTAGTACTGAAAAGGAGGCAGCAACCTAGTAGGGGGAAGAAAAGAAATTCAATAGGTAAATGACAAAGAATCTCTAGCAAACACATGCAATAAAAACCAAAATAAGCCAGACAGGGAAGACCGAAATAAATAAATAAATAATCATTTAATGCAAAGACATGGCCACACATCCACAAAAACAATAGCTAATAGGGATCCATGACCTTCCCAAACACAACGCAACACAACCAGCAACTGACCCTATGGCAGTACTCTGCCAAAAGTCCAAAAGAGTAGTTTTAAGGAAACCCAGTGATTTCCAAGATAACCCAGAAAAGCAATTCAGAAATTGTCAGACACATTTAACAGGGATTGCAATAATAAAAAACACTCAACAAATCTTGGTACTGAGAAATTCTTTAAATGAACTGAAAAATTCATTTAGAGCCTCTCAACAGCAGAATGAATCAAAATCAATGAAACAAAAAGTTGGCTTTTGAAAAGATAAACAAAAGTGACAAACCTTTAGCAAGACTAAGAAAAAAAGACAGAAGAAAATTATACAGGAAAAAGGAGACATAACAACTGAGACCAGGGAAATACAAAGAATCACTGGAGACTATTCTGAACCAACTATATGCCAACAAATTGGAAAATCAGGGGATTCTTCATTTTCTGTCTGCTTTTTACAAAAATGGTAGCATGTTATACTCATTGTTTTTCACATTGCTTTCCTTTTTACCTCTGCAAAGTCTTCCCTTGTATGGCTGTGTTGTCATAGTTTGAGTAGCCCCTACTAAAGTATGTTTTAAGGTGTTTCTGATCTTTTGCTGATACAAACAAGGCTACAGTAGATAATCATGGCCATATGTGTTTTCCTATGCATACAGGTACATCTAGAAGTGGAATTGCTGGTCAAAGGGAATGTGTGTTTTTAATTTCCATAGGCAGTATCAAGTTGCTTTCCATGAATGTCGTGCCAGTTACACTCCCACCAGCAATGTCTGTGCATGCTCGTTGCTCACGTCACCAATACCATTACCACTTTTTTACCAGTTGCTGGTCTGGCAAGTGAATAATGGTCTCTGGTATAGTTCTCATTGATCTTTTCTCATTATAAGTGAGGTTTAGTATTGCAGTATTTTATGTTATATTGATTAATATTAATATTTTAATGTATTAAATATTTTATTTCCTGTGAAATAGCTTTTCTTATCTCTTATTCACTTTTCTATCAGACTTGGTCTTTTTCAGATCGATTTTAAAGAGCTTTTTATATATTTAAAAATTAGCCTGTAGTGTGGGATATGAATTGCAAATACTTTTTACTTAAATTGCTTGTTTTTAAAAAAAATTTGACTTTACTTATTATGCTTTTTTTCCATGTAGGGTTTTATTGACTTTGTTGACTTTTGATCCATCTTTTATTCTATGATCATTGGATTTTATGTCATATTTCTATAAACTCTAAGATTATATTTTTAAAAGTTTTATAGTTTCTCCTAGTATTTGATCAGGGTCTACTTTTTAAATTTAAATATCTCGTCATTTCAAATTTATTTTGGTGTATGATGTGAGGTATGGGTCCAGTTTTCTCTAAGTACCTACTCAGTAGTGCTCAATCTGTGGCCGTCCTAGGCTCTTTCTCTTTCCCAGGCCTGCCCCAGGGTGCGGCTCCTGGTTGGGTTGAAGAAGTGTGTGCCGTGCTTGGAGGAGCCCAGGCGCACACAGCACTAGTGGGATGGCTGGGACGGGCTGCAGACACGCCCTGCCAGTGAGGATGCTCGGTCTCTTCCTCCCCAGGTGCTCTCTCCAATCCCGAGCTGTTCAATTACGGGGTGGAAGTCTATGAAGCCTACAAGAAGCGGTCTCTGGCCAGCGACATCACTGAGGAGCAGAAAAAGGTTCAGGAAGCTGATCTAGTGATATTTCAGGTTTGTTTTTCCAGTAATTAATATAGTAAATCAGACTCATCCTATGTACAAACTCTTTCCAAATATTGAGTGTGAGGCTCCTCCTAGAAGTGGTATCAATGTTTTTTGCACATTTGCACACTTGAGTGTTATAACCCAGTTGTAACACTTTACCTGCTTACAACACTAGTTTACCTAGTTGGGTAAAAAGATCTATGTAGCCAGTATCACTCACCCAAAATCCTGACCCCATGTAAATAGAAATGAAGGATTTATCCATTATCCCAGTGGTCAAAAAAATGTCTGGGTCCCGCTGGACCTGTTGCTTCCATTCTCCTGCAGTCCCCACCCCCAGACATGCCAATTTCCCTACACAAGTGTTTAGCAGGGTCATCCCGGCGAAATGCAACTCTTGCCTTAAATAGTTTGCTCGTTAAGAGGAAAATCTTTGGTTTCCATTCTCTCGCTGGTTGTTTCACCTTCTTGAACCCCCGCCACCCTCTGAGTATTTGTTCACAAGGAGGAGAGAACTGCCCCACAAAACAGCCTCTAGGAAGGCTGACTCCTTAAGGCCACTTCCTGCCACCCGGAGGAGGACTCGTGCAGTCATGGATGTGACCGTAAGCCTGGCAGCCATGTAAACACGTGCTCTTTGAGGGAATCGGGTTGACAGAAATCCAAGTCGAGTTAGAAAGGGGAGTTTATCATAAGGGCACTGGTCTCTTGGGTCTCCTGGACCCCAAGGACAGAGCTGTGGCTGGGATTTGGGGATAATGGCCCTGAGGCAGGAGCACCTCTGCTTTCCTCTTCACATTCCCATCTGCTTCTCCCTGCACCCTGGTCCTCTGTCTCCAGCAGCCAGCGACTGGGTTCCCCAGATCCAGAGTTTCAAAGCAAGGGATCTGATGGGCCTCTGTTCCCAGCCCTGCTTGAGGGCAGGCAGGTGGGAGAAGACCAGTGTCCTTATGGTGGGTGCAGAGCTCCTCATCTCTGTGCAAGGCAGAGGTTGTCTCGGTTCCCAAACCCTTCACAAAAGCAGCCCGTGTGTGCCAGGGAAGGGACACTTCACCCTTGCCCAGGCTTGCTTCTGTGCACCCCTTCCTGACACCAGCCCTCTCTTCACCAAGCCACCTTGAGCCACTAATCTGGCCCAAGTGCAGGATGTTCTTTCATCCTGACACACACAGGCAGACCCACAGTTTCTTAGAACTAAGTGACCATGCAGTTCATCATGCACACCTTAATAGTCACGCCAGGATGATGGGCCTGTGTCCTGAGCCACATGGTCCCAGCAGAGCTGTGGTCACTCTCTCACTGGCCTCCTGTCCCCCTGGTGTTGGCCAACCACACGAGGCCCACTTCTCCCTCCGCCACCTACTCTACTCTATAACTGGGTGGCTAGAGTAAGCCAACATCTCACTTTCCTCTAATGGTCTTTCTTTTGTTCCACCTCATTTCATGTCTCTTCTCCCCTTGCCTTCCCTCTTGTTTTGATAGTTTGTCCAGAGACTTTGCATTGTAAGCTTATTTTTTTCATTCGACACTAGTAAAAATGTCATTCATCACTACTACTGCTATTAGCAGAGCCCACCACTCACCGAGCATTTATGCTCTGGGCATTCTGTTCCACGCACTATTGTGTCCTTGATTCCTCACCACAATGCTGTGAGCTACGAACTGTTAGTATCCCTATTTGCCAAATCAGGAAAAAGAGGCACAGAGAGGTCAAGTAACATGCCAACATCACACAGCAGTAGGTTGTGGAGCTTGGATTTCATTGCCAGGTCCTGAGTTTGATTTATATTGAAATCACATGAAACGTGAGCTTCCACTTTTGGTAACTGTTGATTACCTGTGTTTATTTCCCTTCCTAGACTGTACCACTGGATATGATGTTAGGGCTTCTGTGGTACCCAGGTGGACTTGGGGAGATCTCACTGCTGGTGTGTGGAATCTGAGCATAAGGCTTTGGTTTGTGTCAAAACCGCAGCTGCTCAGCGCCTGACTCAGTCTGCCTCCCGGGTGCTAGCACCTACCCCCAGTTCACCCCAGGCTTGGGAAGGGGCACGCTGTTTCCCACACCATTCTTCTTGGTTGTCTCGGTCACAAAGACTGCTGCCCCAAAGCCAGTGTCCCGTCCCACAGAGCTCCTCACCCCTTCCTGCCTGCCTAGGGACCAGCATCAGGGGCTGTCGTGGGGCATTCAGACCCACCCAGCAGAGACCAGGACCATTGTCAATTCCACCCCACCCCCATCCACACTGTGCCTCTCAGACTGAGCGTGTGGGTCACCCTCCCCTGCCCAGCTGCCCGGGAAGAGGACAGCGGGATTCGTTCTGAGTCTGCAGACAGACTGAGTGGGGCCAGCGGCACCATGGGTTTCCCCGCGTGCCTCCCACAGTTCCCGCTGTACTGGTTCAGCGTGCCGGCCGTGCTCAAGGGCTGGATGGACAGGGTGCTCTGCCAGGGCTTTGCCTTCGACATTCCCGAGTTCTACGACGCCGGTTTTCTCAAGGTATGTGCTCTGGCATCAGGATCACTGCAGGCTGCTGGAGTTGGGGAGTGGGGGCATCTGTCAAGTTGAACTTCTAGTTTCCTTTTATTTTTTAAGCAAATATCGGTTGGGCACCTACCATGTCAAAGCACCATGTGATGCACACAGATGAGCAAAGCGTCATTCCTGAAATCATGGAGTTTTCGTCTAGTGAGAGCTACAGATACGTGGCAAAGAAGGGGCTCGGCGGGGGTTGGGCGAGAGTGGCAGTAGGCAACTTGACGTGGGCCACACAGCAGCCACCGCCAGTCCCAGATAGGGCATCTCCTCTGTGGCAAAAGCCAGCCCTGACCTCACACAAGGTCATGACCTGAGCTCCAGGTGCCTCCTGTGACACAGAATGACATGACACCCACACTGCAGGCCAAGGGGTGCGTGGAGCCCGGTAGATGCACAGCACATGTGGCTGTGAATGTCTTACTAAAAGAAATGTATTTTTTAAATTCTAAAAGCCTCAGAAAATAGGTGCATGTAAGGAAAACAGACTGAGGAACAAAGATCTGTCTGGGACCACAAATGGCGCTGCCATTGGCCCCGGGTGCCAGGCACTGCGCCCCCCCCCCCCCGTCCTGTTCCCCTCACACATGGCATCCCTGAGACCTGCTTTCTGCCAGAAACCCGAGTGTTAGAGCTGCCACGTTTGTTTGGTCGGTTGGCTCCGACTGTCGGCCGCACCCTCCTGGGGTGCAGTTGTCACCAGAGGGCGGGCTTGCTGGAGGTGGGGTGTCCCATTTGTCCATCCCCAGAGGACAGCGACCTCACATCTTCCCTGCAGGCCACGAGAGGGCTTCGTGTGGAGTCACAGCAGCATTTCCATTCCCGGGGAGCCCACACGGACGCCTTTGCTCTCCCCTGCAGGATAAATTAGCCCTCCTGTCCCTGACCACGGGAGGCACAGCCGAGATGTACTCGAAGGCAGGAGTCAGCGGAGATTTTCGATACTTCCTGTGGCCGCTCCAGGTAGACTAGCTGCGCCTGGCTCCCTTGCCGCGTTGGCCCGGCGCACTTGTGCACGCACGTGCACACGCATGATGTACACACATGCGCGCACACGCATGATGTACACACGCTGTCAGCTCCCCGAGGGCTAAGATGAGATGTGATGTAAGCCTGATGCTCCACACCGTTTTGACGACTCCATTTTTGGGGGTACAAAAAAAATCATAGAACATTTTGTCCTTCACAATTTTGGCCAATAGGGAAGGGACATGTCATAATCATAGCCTTTGATACTGTTTGGGCAGAAGCTAAGCCAAGCCCGCTTAGCTGATGTCTGCCCCGTGGTGCAGAATGCCCCCAGGTGGCCCTGTGTGTGTCGCGGGCCCAGCGACCAGGTAGAGAGCTATCCACGTGGCTGAGGCGGTTCCTGGTGAAGGCGGTGCCTTCCTCGCACCTAGCAGGAGGCACCCAGGCCCTGCATTCTGGATGGCCTCACGCTGGCCTCTGCTGGCCATGCCGGCCCCACAGGGCCGAGCGGTCCGTGGAGCCACCTCCCAGCCCCATCCCAGGCCTGCCCCCCTAGGTGGCGTCCCTGCTGCCCGGACCCCAGGGGTAGCCGTCTGCCAGGGGGCAGGGCAGGGCAGCCAGGCCGGGGGTCCATGAAGCCCCCTGGTGAGGGGCAGGGGTGGGGGTGCAGGCTCCAGGTCAGGGACCCTGGAAGACCCGAAACCTAAAGCGCAGCTGTTCCTGCATGCTGTTAGGAAGGGGTGTTTGTCGAGGTAGGAGGGGGACTCGAATTTGGGGATAGTGAGCTTGCTTTAAAAAGTAGGTATTGTCCCTTTTCTGTGAACGCTCTCCAGAGCCCTGCCCACGTGCCTGTCGGGATGCTGGCATTTTAAAATTTGTGTTTGTCAGCACCCTTTCTGTATCAGAGAAGTTGACCCCGGTGTCTTCTCTGAACGTTAAGGCTTTCTTGTAGGCAGTGAAGCTCGTCCTTTGCCGCCGTTGTTGCTATTAGGACTGGGACTCGTCTGCAGTTGTCTTCTAATCTACTTTGGTTTATGAAGGCTGTTGATTTCTGAATATTACTTTATTTACCCAAGCCATTTTCTGTTTTCTCCTGATGATCATAATTTTTTTAGCTGGTTTCCAGTAATAAAGTCATATGGTCTGAGAACAAAAACAGAGAGTAGCGTGTGGGCCTCTCACTCCCACCCGACTGGCAGGCTGGCGCGGGTGCAGGTTTAGAGGCAGCGGCACCGAGGGCTGAGCGCGAGACTTCTGTAAAAAGCGGTCTTCTGTGAAAGGAGAAAGCGTGTGATTCCCATCAGTGATGCCCGCCTGAAGGAGAGAGAGTTTACAGTGGTCCCTTATCCACAGGCCAGCCCACCTCTTCCATGTCATAGTGATGCTCAAATTCTTCTTGCTTTTAAAATCTTTATTTTTATTTATTATTTTTTTAAGACTGGTCAAGTGAAGCAGTGGGAGTGGAGAAGGAACAAAAGAATCTTTACATTGTTTTAGTTTGCAAAAGTATGTATCATAGCAAAAAAATGAGGCAATATGAAATAGAAAAAGAGAAAGTCCCCTAATCCCCCACCTCAGAAATAATCACTTTTAACAATTATTTTTTATACCCCATGTATATTCTTACATACATAATTTTTATTATGTTTATTATCCTTTTACATAAATTTTGCACCAAAAATACTGCTTAAAATTTGTTGCTGTTTTCATTTGACAAATATCATTTCGTTTCATTTGAATAACTTTCCATGGTGGCACATTATAACTAGAATAACCTCATTTTAGAGTAATCCAGAGTATGAATGTACCATAATTTGCCCAGTCATTCAAAACCGTGACGTTTAGTGTCCGATTCAGTAGCAACAATTGCAGGTCAATCTCAATTATAAGAATAGAATTTGGAAGCCAGGTATGTGGCATGTCCCTGTAGTCCCAGCTACGCAGGAGGCCGAGGTGAGAGGATCACTTGAGCCCAGGAGATCAAGTCCAACCTGGGCAACATAGGTAGACCCATATCTTAAAAAAAACAAAAAAGGAATAGAATTTTGAAATTCCAGCTACCCCAAGTTCTGCACCTTACTCATGAAGCCCCATGTCCTAAGGTCATAGGGAAGTTCCATTTTCAGTTACCTTGTAGCTTTAATCATCTAACCAAAGGGTGTGTAAAAGGTGCAGTTTCTAATCATTTCCTTTCTTTCCCGTGGCCATAGCATGGTGCGTTGCACTTCTGTGGATTTAAAGTCCTTGCCGCTCAGATCAGTTTTGCTCCTGAGATCGCATCAGAAGAAGAAAGAAAGGGGATGGTGGCTGCGTGGGCCCAGAGGCTGAAGACCATCTGGAAGGAAGAGCCCATCTCCTGCACGCCCCCATGGTACTTTGGGCAGTAAGTCTATGCCATGTGCTCATCATGTGAGCAACACACTAGGAGCATAGACAAAGGGAAATGCTGTCATGGAATAAAGTCACAATATAGCAAACTGGAAACATGTAATGAAGTATATGAAAGAGTCTCTTGAGAGTTTTGTATGGCCAGATCAAACATTTCAATAATCAGTTTATTATATTGAATTCTATTCTGACCACTATTCATGCAGTTTTTCTTTACTTTAATATTTGTCTAATATCTGTCCATATTCCTATGTTCAAGCTTCATGGATAATTTATTTTCAGACAGTCCTACCACACTAGTCCAAGATAAGCCTTCGCTTGCCTGGCTTGTTGCATGGACCCCCTAAGTAATCACCCTCATCCACTTTTCCCCACATCCCATTTTCTGCAAAATTCTTAACATAAGCTTTAAGCACATATACACCACACATATGTACATGTACACAGGAATATACATACACACCACATGTGCTACATACACAGACACCACACATACATGTACATGCACACACATCCATACACACCTATACCCATACATACACACATCCATACACACACACCCATACACATCTGTACACACACATCCATACACACACCAATACACATCTATACACCCACACCCATAAACACACAATACACATCTATACATACACATCCATACACACACACATCTGCTCATGCTGCCCTTGAGGCTTATTAATTTTTCCAAGGTTTCTCCTGGCTCCTAGGAAATGCCCAGAATCCTTGCGCTGGTCCATCAGGTGCGGCATGTGGCCCTGCCTTCTCTGTGGGCTCTTCCGGCTCCTGCCCTCAGAGTCCGTGCTCGGCGGTGCCTGACTTCTTCCCGCCCACACCATTCTGGTGCAGGCTGGGCCAAGGCCGCCCCTCAGGCAGGGGGGCCGTTTTGTTACCACCTCACCCTTCCCACATGCTCCTCCAAGCCACGTGGTTAAGGAAGCCTCCCCTACCCCTTGGACTAGTGTGGAGCCCGTGCCCTACACCCTGCCTTTCTCCTGATTTTAGCAAAATCTGTGGCTGCGGCAGGAGGATCACTGGAGGCCCGGGTTGGAGGCTGCAGGGCGCCGTGAGTGCGCCTGTGAAGAGCCACTGCACCCCTGCCTGGGCGACAGAGTGAGACCTCGCCTCACAAAATCTCTGGAGTTTTATTTCTACAAGAAATACATGAGGACGTTCTCGCAGCCACTTCAAACACTAGGGTGATCGGGCAAGGGCAGGTCCCCCCAACCGACTGGGCTCCGTGAGAGCAGAGGGGACGCAGGCGAGGCAGCGCAGACACAAGGGCCGCGCCCTCCTGCCCGGCCCTGGGCAGCAGGCGGCAGGGGCTGGCTGGGCGTGCGCTTCACGAGCCGCGTGGACTTCTGACCGCCTGGACCTTTCCAGGGTTTTCTTCATTGCTCTCTGGTTTCTCTTCCGGTCCTGTGCTTGCAGAAACCAGCCTGGCTCTTGATCGGGATCGTAGGTTTGGGAGGCCAGGTGGGGCCAGGCAGCCTGGGAGAAATGCCCTGGACAGGCTCTCCCTTCTCCTCCCTGATGACCCCTGCTCCTCCCTGGCTCTGCCGGCGTGGCCAGCCTGCGCCCTCTGGAGCCTCATCCCAGGCCCTTGAGGGTGCTGGACTCCAGCACAACCCCCAGGAGGCAGGAAGTCCCACAGCCTCCCTCGGCAGCTCTAAGCGCTGGAGGCGGGTTCTCTAGCCCGGAAGGAGCACTGGCTCCTTCCTGTGTGGGTGAGAGGGCAGGAAGTTGGGGGAGGGCTTCTCACCACCCTCTGGGTTCCTGAGGCCCATGGCCCTGGCAGTCAGCACTGTCACGTGGCCTCACCTGCGCTGAGGACATTCATTTCTGCCTGCACAGCAAACCGTTAGCAGTTCGAGGGCTGGGGTCTCATCAGCTCCTGCAGCACCCGGCACTCTGCTGCATTGACTGCTGGTTTTTAACATCTTGTTGCTGAAAAACTTTATAATTAATATGGCATCAGCAAGGCAGTGGGGATTGCTGTTAGAAAAGAGAGCCGGATGCGCTGGCTCATGCCTGTAATCCCAGCACTTGAGGAGGCAAAGTGGGAGGGCCCCTTGAGGCCAGGAGTTGGAAACCAGGTTGGGCAAAAGTGAAATGCTGTCTCTACAAAAAATAAGAAAAAGAAAGGAAAGAGGGAGGGAGGAAAAGGAAATAACTAAAGAAAGGAAAGAAAAAGAAACAAGGAAGAAAGAAAGAAAAAGAGGAAGGGAGGGGGGAGGGAGAGAGAAAGAAAAAAAAGGAAATGACTGCAGCCGAGTCTGTAGTTACAATTTGGTTATGAAAGTTAGTCCAGAGCCTCCTTTGGGTGGAGGTCAGTAAAAAGGAAAGGCCCTGTTGCTCAATGTCAGAAAGCACCAGGAATTTAGAGAAGTTCCCAGCAGCGTGAGCATGTGACTACTGCTCACAGCCAGGGGACAGGAGAAGGAGGAAACAAGCCCAGGAGGTGTTGACAACATGGGGAGGTAGATAAAAGCCAGCATGGGAGCAGTTCGGTGATGGGGACAACATGGGAACCTTGGGACAGCCGGGCCACCCCAGGCTGCACGCCCTCTGACACATGTGTGCCAGGTGGTTTTGTTGCTTGCTCCAGACAGGACTGGCAGGCTCGAGACCACTTGGCTCACACCAGTGCCAGGTGCCTTGCCTGGGGATGGCATCAACTGCCTGCAGAACTGCTGAACACGAGGCTAGCACTCTGGGAGGCCGAGGCGGGAGGATCGCTCAAGGTCCGGAGTTCGAGACTAGCCTGAGCAAGAGGGAGACCCCCGTCTCTACTAAAAATAGAAACAGATTAATTGGCCAACTAAAAATATATATATATTTTTTTTTTTTTGACCCAGAGTCTCTCTTTGTTGCCCAGGCTAGAGTGAGTGCCATGGCGTCAGCCTAGCTCACAGCAACCTCAAACTCCTGGGCTCAAGCAATCCTGCCTCAGCCTCCCAAGTAGCTGGGACTACAGGCATGCGCCACCATGCCCGGCTAATTTTATATATATATATATATATATTAGTTGGCCAATTAATTTCTTTCTATTTATAGTAGAGACGGGGTCTTGCTCTTGCTCAGGCTGGTCTCGAACTCCTGACCTCGAGCAATCCGCCCGCCTCGGCCTCCCAGAGTGCTAGGATTACAGGCTTGAGCCACCGCGCCCGGCCTAAAAATATTTTTTAAAAAATAAAAATAAAAAAGAAGTGCTGAGCATAGTCTGACAGTGCTCCCAACACAGCTGGACCTTGTGATTCCATCTATAGAAAGAGGTTCCAGGGAAATAGAGAGTGAAAGTAATTTTGTAAATTAAATGTTTCATTTTTTAGCAAATCTGGTTATAACAGTGAGAAGCAGCACCTAATGTTTATTGGATGCTTAGTATGTGCCAGGGGCTGATATAAATTCTTTATATGTATTATCAGCTCATTTAATCCTAACACCCCTGTGGGCAAGAACTATTGCTATCACCACTTTACAGATGAGGAAACTGAGGCAGTTAGGTGAAGACATTTGTACTATGGTTGCAGCAAAAGAGGGGCAGGTGTGGGGTTTGAATGCAGAGCATCGGGTTCCTCTGGAAGTAACCAAAGTGCTCGTGGTTGGGGTAATGATGGAGCACACTGGCCACCCACTGAACTGTAAGTGGCAGATATTAGGGGCAGTCACCTGTGCTTGTCCCACATCTATTCCTGCCCCTTCTCGTGACAACGTCCTGGTTTTCCTTTGGGGACCATGCTCCTTCCCCAAGCCACGTGGCTTCCGTGAGTGGCCCTTCCTTTGCTCCCAGGAGCAGTGCCCGACATAGCCGGCCGGCAATAGCAAGAGCCAGGCACAGAGAATGAACTTGGGGATTAGTTGGACCTGTCAGGAAAGGGAAGCCTGTTCTTGCTTCTAGACTTGGAGCTGTGACAGTGTTAAGTTGGCTGGGGCCGTGCATGACACAGAGAGTGTTGGCCTGCAAACGGAGCTCACGGTGAGGAAAGTTTATCCAAGCCACACAGAGGGACAACTTCCTGGTGACATCCTTTGAACACCTGGCTCCATCGCTGCCTGACGCTGGAATTTTATTCTTCAGCTCTTTGGTTATATGAGGCAACATGCTGCCTTCTTTGCTTAAGTGGTTTGAGTTGAGTTTATATCAGGTACAAGCAAAGAACCCTAAATAATGCAACAGGCATGACTACTGTCTACCTGGAAATATGAGGCACTCCAGTGAAAATAAAACATAAATTAATTTTGGAACTTGACCATATTATAATAACATAAAAACACTCATAGAAGGTATGTAAAAATTAGAACAAAATTTATAGTATAATTTATTAAATTCTTGTTCTCACAAAATAGGTTAAGTGTCTAGTGTCTAATAAAGAAGGAGGAGCAGCAGGCGTGGGAAGCGGCGGAGAGGCTGACGCTGAGTCCAGCCCCGGCGCTGCCAGTAGCACACAGGCCCTGAACAAGCTCGCCGACCTCTGTGGGTCTCAGCTTCCCCATCTGCGAAGTAAGGGGGCTCCGGCCTTACAGAGGTCCCCACCTGATGTGCAAGGTGCCAGTATGTCCGCAGTCCTGTCACGTGTAGTCTCCCCCTGACACCGAGGGGCAGTCTGGAATCCTGTCTGGAGTCCCAGTAGTCCTGTGCTGACCTGATCCAGGGTGTGGCTACCGGCACAGCCAATTCCTACTTGCCTCGCACCGTTTCTCTCCTTCTGCAAAGTCGGACTGATGTGCTGAAACGTGTTAATAAAAGCATCCAGTTATGTGTTTCATTAAAATGTATCAAGGACAAAGCTTATCAGGAATCAGATTATGTGTCTGACTGAACTGATTTGAACTCTTGAATCACTGATGGAAGGTTTGTATTTTGGGATGATTTCTCCCAGCATGAGCTAGCAGTTTGTAAGAAGGTTTTGTTAGTGTCTCCATTTTACAGATGGGCAAACTGAGGCTTAGAGAATTGAAGTAAATTGACCAGGGTTCTACTCCTACAAGTGGCAGAGCTGAAACTAAACCCAAAGCAGCCTTTTCCAGAGCTTGTACTCTGAACCGCTCAGGGTAAGGAACCTTGTCAGAGGGAACTGGAGCAGCACTGAACAAAAAGACATTTTAAAGAGATGACCCTCAAGGACACTACAGGAGAGTTCACAGTGAAAATAGAAGAAATCTG